CATCAACAATGAATGATGATTTTTATGTACACTATATCATGTGCATGGTTGGGATGAACTTGAGCCAAGAGAAGAAAAGTATGATTTAATCATTGGAGATCCAAGTGATCTGATTAAAGATGCTACTCTTTTTTTTTTTTTTAAATGCAAGATGCTCCTCAATTTTACTAAAGCAGGGTGGGATTCTTTGACCTATGAAGGACCAATAGGCATATTCAGCCATAGAAAAGGCTTCTCTGTAATTGATAACAATTTTCTGGCAAAAAATATATTTTGATAACAATTTTGATCGTCAGTAATCTTTCTTATTATCTAATAAAAATTAAAATAAAGCATACATGCTACTAAAAATTAGATACATATTTTACAAAATACGTTATTTTTACTTAAAAATTAAAAAATATAATATAATTAAAAATATTTAATATACCATATTAAAAATAATTTTGAAAAGTATTTTTATATAAGTAAAATATATTTAGAAGAAAGTTATAAAAAGTAACGGTGTCTGACCGTTAACAGAACCGTGCCATAATGGCAAGCCTTTATCATGGTGTCTGGTCTTCATAAATAAGCTTATACATATAATGTTGGCTAATGATAGCCTAATATATATTTCCCTTGGCCCTTTTTGTAGGTTAATTAAATTACTTACTTTCGATTAGAGCTGTCAATAAAGGCCTGGTGAGGAGACATCTGGCCTAACCTTTGTAAGTTTGAAAAAAGTCCATCCTTCTCCCATTATATCATCACAAAGGTGGGTGGGTAATAAAACAAATTTGTTTTTAAAGAAAAAGACCCTACCCTTGTGAGGAGACGACGAAGAGCAAGAGGGCACCTCATAAGAGTATTTTGCCTCGATAAAATGGGCTTTGGGTCGGGTTAACTTGTAAGTCATTACTGACAACTTTAGTAGTAAATTGCATCTAAACTTCAAAAGTATTTGATGCTAGGAAAAAATAAATAAAGAATTTTCTGATCTTAAAATTTAAAATACTCATTCATTTAAATTATTTCAATTTTTGGCCCATAAATATTTCAATTTTAAATTTACCAAATATGGATCAGTGGATGTAATTTACGTAAAGTAATATATACATATATACCTAAGTAAAAAAAAACACATAAAAACGAATTTAAAATTTTAAAAAAATTAATATACTGTATTAAAAATAATTTTTTTAAAAAATTTATGTAATTAAAATATATTTAGAATAAAGCTATAAAAAGGATAAAGGGCAAAAATATTCAATAAAATCATCGACGAAGAGTATCTAGTCCCTTAAAGCAAGGAAAAATACATGACTACTTATGAAGTTATTTTTTCAATGCATTTGTGACAAAATCATTATTACAGTATAATGGTTAACGTCTTTGAATTTTAATAGTTTGATCATAGATGTACTAAAAAAAATAACTTCATGAGCATTCATGTATTTTTTTATTTTAAGTTATTGAATGCTTCTAATCAATGATTTATTAATGGTTTTAACCATTTGTCCTATCAAAAACAATAGCTTTTGTTTTGTTAACAAAACAATCACCTTAATAAGAAACCTTTAATTATGGCGTCTAGTCTTCATGAGACCAGACGCCATGATTTCTCTCACCTTAGCTAAACGATGGACCTAGTAAATATCAAGAGCCTAACTTTGAAAATGAAGGATTTTGGGGTAAGAGGGCATTTGGCCCGACCCTTATAAGATCCAATAAAGCGGGTTCGAACTGAGCGAGCTTGTAAGCCGTATGATTTTTTTTTTTTTTTTTTTGGGTGGGGGGGTTAATGAAGGGACAAAATGCACAACTTTAAATACATAATCCTAGTCCTCTCTTAAATCAGTCTCGCGCTCACGCATGCATGCCTGTCTTCCTCTGCGATCCTCAGCCCTCCTCACCCATTGGCCATTGCCAAGACACAAATGGAAGTTATGGAACTGGAAAAGTCATACCAAGACACAAGAGTGACTGGGACATGTTCCGTAAATTACAGAGTTACTTATTTTTTAAATTTTAAAAAATGTAAAGCATTTTGAGTCTTTTAAAATATAATATTATCTTTTTTTTTTCAAAAGTGCCTTATTAAATAGATCATTTTTTTAGAATAAAATACTTTATTAAATAGAGATAAATATAAAAAATAAGGTTCGTTTAAAGATAAGTAACTACTTTATTGAAATGTGAGATTTGATTAAAAATACTTTATATTTTTAAACGAAGGGAGTACATGCTTATATATAATTTTAGTATAATACATTGGATTAACTTAATTTTAGAAGCATTTTTTCATATTTTTTATTGTTTATTAGATACTATCAAACCATAATAATAATAATAATGAACTCTTTCCCCGCTTTTTCCCCTCATCATTTGATTTTATAATTTGATCTTCTAATCTATATTAAGAAAGATTTCACATTAACAAAATTTAGAGGACTTTTTGTAAAATTTTACATTTGAGGTATTGAAGTTGTAATTATATGTCATAAATAACCTCATACATGGGAACAGTCCCAGCTCATCTCATTCAAGAGATGAGATCTGAAATATCTAAACGGTCCAAATTTAAGATATTATTTTATATTAATTTATGAAAATAAAAAATTATAAAATAATTTTAATAAATTTTTTATTTGATCTAGATTTAATTTAAGGGTCTAATTTAATATTAAAATTTTTATAATTGATGTATATTGATTACTCATATGAACTTTATACAATCCAACAGTTTAGATGTAATTTTTGGTTATATAGAGTACATCTAAAAAATTTAAAATATTCAATTATAAAAATTTTAACATTAAATTAGAGTTTCTAAATTAAATCTAAATCAGATTAAAAATAAAAAATTTATGAAAATTATTTTATAATTTTTATAATTTTTTATTTTAATAAATTAATATATAATAATATTGTAAATCTAAACAATCCAAATTTCATCTCTTGGATAAGCATCGCATGGTCATCTAAGCCCTTATATATACAAAATTAATATCAATTATACAAAATTAGATTGGATGAACTCAAATCCTCTCTCTTTCTATACGTACCTTTTATCAGTTGAGTTGTAATAATTTTTTAATCTTAATATACAAAATTTAATATGTATATATATATACTCTCTCTATTAAAAAATGTAAGGTATTTTTAATCGAATCTCACCTCCTAATAAAGTAGTTACTTACTTTTCAACTAACCCTATCTTTTTACATTTATCTCTATTAAACACCCTACAATAAATATAAAGTCATTATCAATAGAGATATTTTTGAAAAAAAAAAGCAATGATTACACCTAGAAAGATTAAAAATACCTTATATTTTTTAACATTTAATTTTTTTAAAAAATATCTTACATTTTTAAACGAGAGAGTATATATTACTTAATTGAACACATATATTTAAATTAATCTATTTTTTATATATTTAATATATCATTATTATTTAAATATGTCGATAATATATATTATCATATATACACACTAACGTGTTAAGAAATATACTATTTAATATCAATTAATATATTTTATGAAATAAATATTTGTGTATATCATTTTATATTATCTATGTTACATTTAAAATATTTTTAAATGATAAACATTTTATTTTTATATTTAAATTTACATAAAATAAAAAATTATTTATTAATTTTTCTATTTTATTTTATATTATATATTTACTTATAATAAGAGAAAAAAATATTCATGTAATGTTTTCATGTGAATTTTGTAATTTTGAAGATTTATTTTCATGTGAATCTCTCTCTATACATGTTATAAATTTTTTATTTTTATAAAATTTAAAACCATTTTACTAATTTTTAAATTAAAAATATTCATCACTAATCTATCATTAATATAAAAATTGAGTGACAGATTTAAATCAGTAACTAAATTTATAAAATTTGATTAAAATATAATTACATCTTATATTTATTGCTAATTTATATAATTAGTGACATATTTCAGTTCATTACAAAAATTTTGTCATGCTTATAATTATTGATGGGTTGTGTTTCCAATACAATGATTCTTATGAGAGAGCCCTTTCAAATTGTCTAGCATTAATTTTTTAATTGAAATTATTAAAAAATTTAATAAAATTTCTTATTTCTAAATGAAGATTGACGATGGAGGCTAAAAAATATTTGTATTTTCCATGATACACATTTTATACTCATATTATTGTGTGGTTTGTATTGCTTTAATATACGTAGGAGTTTATTATTATTTTTTAAATATTTAATTAAGGTACTTTACAATTTGTTTATGTATAATTTATTAGTATAATTAGAAATTCAATTTTAAAAAGTTTTAAAAAAGTATGCAGGCTTTTGAGCCCAACTTTGAGCCTTATCTTTGAAAGTAGGGCTTGAGACAAGTGTCAATTTGGAGAAAGAAAAATTTATGAACTTGAATTTTTAAAGGTCAAGTTTATATAAAAATTAGGCTGATCACTCTAGTAATAAATTTCATCTCAAACTTCCAAATGAATTTAGTTGTCAAGATTTGTTTACACTTACTATTTCATGCCAGGAAAAAGAAACTAAATAATTTTCAGACCTTAAAATATAAAAATAATTATTTCATTTAAAATATTTCAATTTTTGACCAACAAAAATATCAATTCTGAATTTACTGAATTTGGGTCATGGGATGTAATTAATTTACGTAAAGTAATATATACATATATAGCTAAATAAGTAAAACAACCCGCATGAAAACAAATTTATTAATGTATTTACAAGACTTCTGTTTTTAGAGGTCCATTTTATTTAACATGATTTTTTTCTCTTTTTGGCGAGAGATATTGAAGAACAGGTAGTGCTTCCGAGAAGTACGTGCTCGATCGAATCGGAATGTGTTCAATTTTGGATATTGTTTATGGTGTTCTTCGCCTTTCACGTACACCTCTCACATTCTCTCTCTCTCTCTCACATATCTTTTCATGCATAAAATATAAAACTTTGCTGTCATTTTCTCTAAAATGGAACACCACCCTTATTATTATCATTATCAAATCTCTCATAACAGATTCTAATGTACTTGTTTTCTTCGCCTTCTCTCCTATTATATCATTGACGTCGTCAATTTTTATAGCAGCCGCCGTCCGCCGTCGCTGACGACGTCGCTGCAGCCACCCACCGCCTCCTTCGGTTCCTGACCCATCATTATCACGTTGTACGATTCTAGACAATCAAGCATCCCAAGTATGGGTCAGCATAGCCGTCGTGAATCCGATCCCGGTCCATTTCGATCTACAATCTCCGACGACCACCATTTCTTCCGCCGTCACCTCCAAGTTCGTGACATTTTCGAGAAGGAAAGCGATCTCATATGGCCTTTCGACAAGATCGCGGGCTTAGATCGGGAAGATATACGGGAAGCGGCGTATGAGATATTCTTCACGGCGTGCCGGTCGTCGCCGGGGTTCGGAGGCAAGACTGCTCTCACGTTTTACTCTAATCATGAGAACGGCGGCGAGGATGGATCCGGCGGCCAAACGGTGGCGCCGCAAACAAGTAAGGTGAAGAGGGCGTTGGGGTTGAAGTTATTGAAGATACCGTCGAGGAGGACGTTGTGCAGCACAAGCAGCGGGGGCTTGCCTAGTCCGGTGTCGCCGGTGAGCAGCGGCGGTTTCCCGATATCGTGTGCACTTCCTCCAGCTAAGCCACGGCGGCCGATGACATCAGCAGAGATCATGAGACAACAAATGCGCGTGACAGAGCAAAGTGATAGCCGATTGAGGAGAACACTCATGAGGACTCTCGTAGGCCAAGTACGTACGTATATTGAATTATGGCTTCATTCTTTTAAAATTGTAATTAATTAATTATGCGTATTCATTTGACTCTATGGAAAATTTGAGTTTATCAGTCTTTTAGACTTCTAAAGAATTTTTCATTATTGATCAATCCAAGTTTGTTGAACAGTAGACGGAATCAATCATTTGAGCTGTTTTTTAATTTGTAAATTTGAATTGATCACCTTAATTAATTTCAGTATTTCATATTAGTATGCAAGAACAAAAATTCAGAGCTGCATATGAAGGCAAGTAAATATTTTTTGTTATTACTATATTTCAAAATTTGAAGCAACAACTTTCAATTACTCCCCCGTTCAAAAATGTAGGGTATTTTTAAAAAAGTTAAATGTTTAAAAATGTAAGGCATTTTTAATCTTTCAAAGTATAATCATTGCATTTTTTTTAAACTGTCCTTATTAATAATAACTTTATATTTATTGTAGAGTATTTAATAGGAATAAATATCAAAAGATAGGATTAATTAAAAAGTAGGTAACTACTTTATTAAAGATGAAATTCAGTTAAAAATGTCATAAATTTTTTAATGGAGGGAATATGTTATATAGAGAGAGGGAGGGGGGTAAAATGGCAATTTGACACTTAAATTCTGTATTTGACTTTTTTTTTTTTTGAATTTTATCCTTAAACATTTAAGATCATGATACTTTCACCCTTGCATCTAACTTAGACAAATATTTGACTAAAAAATTATTAAAAAAAACCAAAACAATCATAAAAAATGACCCAAAATTATAAATTTTACTTGTTATCCTTTAATGCAGTCGTTCTGTGATACTTTTTGTTATTTTTTATAACTTTATAATCAATTAACAGTCAAAATTAATAGTATTGAGATATTGTTAAGATTTAAATGTTTAGGACTGAAAATGAAAATAATAATAATAATAATAATAATAATAAGTTTAGAATCTCAAATATTCCTATATCTATAATTTGAAGTTTAAATTATCATGTTACCTTGTTTATATTCGATGATTATTTTTGAAGTACAGTGAAAAAGTAAATTAGAATACTAACCATTTAAAAGTTGTGAAAATTTCTATTGATGCAGACGGGGAGGAGAGCAGAAAGCATCGTTCTGCCTTTAGAACTACTAAGACACGTAAAGCCCTCAGAATTCAACGACCCTCAAGAGTACCATTTATGGCAAAAGAGACAACTCAAGCTTCTCGAAGTAGGTCTTCTTCTTCACCCTTCAATTCCCACAGAAAAATTCAACCCTTCAATGATCACAAGTCTCAAGGAAGTCATCCACAGTGCAGAATCCAATTCTCTAGACACAACCAACAAAACCTCAGACACCATGAAAACCCTCTGCAATGCCGTCGCCGCCTTAGCCTGGCAAAACTCCGACAGCAACCCCACTGTCTGCCACTGGGCCGATGGCTTCCCTGTGAACATCCACATTTACACTTGCCTTCTTGAGGCCATTTTTGACATCAGAGACGAGACTTCAGTGCTTGACGAGGTCGATGAGTTGCTTGACCTAATGAACAAGACGTGGTGCACGTTGGGAATCACTAGGGCCATTCACAATGTGTGCTTCACATGGGTGCTTTTCAACCAATATGTTGTGACTGGACAGATAGAATCTGATCTGCTTTGTGCATCGCATGCGATGTTGAATGAGGTTGCTAAGGATCATGCGAAGAGTAAAGAAGGCACTAATAATAATAATAATAATAATTTGGATAATGGTTTGTATGTGAAGATTTTGAATTGTGTGTTGAGGTCAATGGTGGGTTGGGCAGAAAAGAGGCTTCTGAATTATCAAGAGTTCTTTGTTCGTGGTAATGTTGCACAGATTGAGAATATTCTTCCTATTTTTCTCTTAGCATCTGACATTTTGAGTAGTGAAGATGATGGAGCAACTCAGGATTCATCTACTGATCGACTCGATCATTATGTTAGATCTTCTGCCAAAAATGCATTTAAGAAGGTTAGTTTCTACTTTAAACCTCTTTTTTTTTTTTCAATAATTCTTTCATCGACATTAATTTCATGCTTTGCTTTGTTTTTTAGAAATCATCATATATGTGTGTATATGTGTATACATACATACATATAGTATTACTGTTGAGTATCGACCGAATTCAAAGTTCGAATTAGTGAAGTGGGTGCTCCAACAAAATAGATTTATATTATTTTTGTTTCAAGATAGGTTGGCGTAGGTTTTGAAAATAAAGGAAAAACTTATTAAATTTTGAAAAAAATTGCATTATTTTTAAAATTAAAAATGTGGCCGCTATAAATTTCAATAAAATATACTCCCTCCATTTAATATTATAAAATTCTTTCAACCAAATTAATTTTTTGATAAGTGAGTTAATTGCTTTTAAAATAACACATTTATTCTTATTTAATAGAGTGTTTCAATTAAAAAACCTTATTAAATACACCCCTTAATTAAGAGTATTTTTGAAAAAATATTATTAATTGAACATTGAAAGATCCAAAATGCTTTATATAATTTTAAACATCTTACTTGAAAAAAATGCTTCATATTTTTGAAAGGAAGGAGTAAAAGAAATCATTAGAATTTATGCTTTATTCTAAATAAAAAAATTATAAATAATGGATGTTTTCATGAATTAAATATACGTGGCTATCATATTGAATTAAATGTGTATTTAAAAAAAAAATGGCCATGAGGACATGCAGATGATAAAAGAAGCAAATGAGAGCTATGCAAAATCAGAGGTAGAAGTAGATGCAAGAGAAGTGTTGTTGGGATTGGCACAGGAAACAGAGGAATTAGCAGTGAAAGAGAGGCAAAACTACAGCCCAGTACTGAGGAAATGGCTGGGGACAGCAGGAGCAGTGGCAGCATCAACACTGCACAGTTGCTATGGGGAAGTGCTGAGTCAGTATCTGAATGAGGTCACAACACTCACATCAGACACAGTTGAGGTGTTAGAGAGAGCTGACAAGCTTGAGAAAGTTTTGGTTCACATGGTGGTTGAAAATTCTGCAGATTGTGATGATGGTGGCAAGACCATTGTCAGAGAGATGGTCCCTTATGAAGTTGACTCTATCATCTTTAACCTCTTGAGGAAGTGGATTCATGAGTCTCTCAGCAAGTGCACTGAGATTTTTGAAGGAGTCAAAGAATGCGAGGTATTGAATTTGGAATAGGCTTAACAATATGCTCCGATTCAACCTTATAACGTACAAACTTCGGCTTTTGTGGACACAGAATATACAAAGTCATTTTGTGTTTTGCAGACATGGAATCCAAAGTCAAAACAAGAACCATATGCACAATCAGCTGTGGAGCTTATGAAGGTGGCTAGCACAGCGGTTGAAGAATTCTTCAGAATTCCAGTTGGAATCCCTGAGGATTTGGTTCAAGAACTTGCTGTGGGATTGGAAACTCTATTCCGAGACTACATGACATTTGTTGCAGCTTGTGGTAAGCTTTAGGAGTGCCTTATTAATTAAGATTGTTCTGGAATATGAACTTAAAAGAAAAACAAATCATGTGAATTATTCTCTACTCATTATTTTATTCATACTTTACGCTTCACCAGGCCTGTTTAAAATGGAAAGATAAAGTCATAGTTTTGGCCCCAATCATTTCACTCTAATTTTATAATTTGATGATCCATAAAATCAAATAATTTACAATTAAATACTTACAATTTAAATAATTTTTTATATAAAACAGTCCCTATATATATCAATTTTTTTTGTCAAATGTATATGATTAATTTTATTTCCTTCCTTCTAAGTTAGGTCTTTTATTTACATCAATCATATATATATATATATATATATTGAGCAACAAATAGTTATATTTTTCAAAGCTTAACAAAGGATCGTTAGAACTTTGACGGTACGGACCAAATTTGATCATAAATATTTAAATTATAAGGTCCAAACTAAAAATTTCATATTGAAAGAATCTCAAATATAATGATTCTTTAAAATATTAAAATTTTGAAAAATAAAATATATTTACCGATTATTTTTAAAAAATATTATAAGGGTATCACCTAAACGGGTTATATATATCATTTACCTTCTAACCTAAACTTTTAACATCGGGCCAAAAAAGAAAAAGCTAAATTTTTAGCAATGTACTCTTTTATATTCAAAATATAAATATTTTCTCACATCTAATTTTAATTCAAAATATAAGTAATGTAATACTTATAAAAAAAAATCTCATTTTACCCCTTATATTTATAACCTTGGCTTTTTGTATCTGTGATTTTTACCTTCTCACTCATCATAAATTGAAAATAAAAGTAAAAAAGAAAATAATATATATTTTCATTAGAAAAAAAAGATTTTGTTAGTTTGCGAAATATTGTTAAAAGCTGTTTACATTTTGGTTTTGGACTGGAGAGAGTATTTAGCCAATCGATTGCATATATTGATAGTAATATTATTTTCTCTTTTCAGTTTATTTTATGATAAATCATTTTAACAATTATAGTGTGCATATAATTAAATTGTGCATTATGTCAGGTTCAAAAAAGAGCTACATCCCTTCCCTTCCACCATTAACAAGGTGTAGCAGAGATTCCAGGCTGAGCAAGATGTGGAAGATAAGAAACCCTTGCAGTTATGGCCTTGAACAAGAACACCAACCAATCCATTCATCAAACGAACCTCATCATCATAACAGTCCTCATAGCCATCTTCCTCCTGCTCGTCCCTCAACTAGTAGAGGAACTCAACGTCTCTACATTCGCCTCAATACCTTACACTATCTTCTCACTCACATTCACGCCATTGTCAAAGCTCTCTCTCTCCATCCTAACCCGAATCCCCGGCCTTTCGCCGAGACCTCGCACTTTGAGATCCTCGTCTCCTCCATCCACGCCGCCTGCCAACACGTCTCCGAGATCGCCGCCTACCGTCTGATCTTCCTTGACTCCAACTTTGTCTTGTATGACTCCCTCTATGTCGGCGACGTTGCCAACGCTTCTATAGGTCCTGCATTGAGAATCTTGAAGCAGAACCTAACCCTAATGCTTACCATTCTGACGGAGAAAGCACATGTAGTGGCAGTGAAGGAAGTGATAAAGGCTACGTTTGATGCTTTCCTTATGGTTTTGCTTGCAGGAGGAAGCAATAGGATTTATATTAGGTCTGATCATCAGCTTATTAAAGAGGACTTTGAGGGTTTGAAGAGGCTATTTGTGAATTGTTGGGAAGGATTGAGAGTGGAGGAAATGGTGGAGAAGAAGGTGAAGTAGTGGAAGGAGTGATAGCTTTAATGGGAGAAAGTACAGAACAATTAATGGAAGATTTTAGCACCGTGACATGCGAGACAAGTGGGTTAGGAGTAATAAGTAATGGCCAAAAATTACCTATGCCTCCAACAACAAGAAAGTGGCATAGAGCGGATCCAAACACAATATTGAGGGTGTTATGCCATAGAAATGACAAAACTGCAAATCAGTTCCTAAAGAGGACATTCCAATTAGCAAAGAGGAAATGAGAGAGAGAGAGAGAGAGAGAGAGAGAGAACTTTTTGTATTCGTTTTCTCTTTAGAGCACAAGTACATACTTCATTAATGTGCCTTGTAAATAGGAACAACTTACAACTTGGTAAACACTAATAAATAGGCTTTTTCAACACTCTAGAGACTATATATATTGCTGTAGTGATATATATGGATTCTCTACATATAAAAAAAAAAAAAAGTGAATGTATAGAGTGCATTCAAAGAGCAGAAATGAGATGATGTGAGTGTGAAAATGAGATGTGTGTCCACACACAATCACATCTTTTTTGTCATTTTCTCTTTGAATGTATGTATAAATACATGAATGTAGGTAATCTAATTTCTTACTAATTTGTAGAATATGTATTTCTACCTCAAAGAAACTAAATATTTTTAATTTGCTAGGAATATTGTTTGCACTACCAGCATATACCTACAAGAAGTAAATTATGTGCACGTAGTAGTAATTATAGGTGATAATTTATGAGTGAATTCAGGCTTTCTTGTTTGAAATGAGAAACAAATAGGGAGGCGAGAGAAAAATCGGGGAGAAAAAACCAGAAGAATAAGTCATTTTTCATCCTTATCTTCCCCTAATTTCCTTCTTATGAAAGGGAGAAATTAAAGGAAAAACTTGATGCTAGGACAAGAGTATCATTTTCTTTTTTCTTTTTGTAATTTCTTTCCTCTCTATGATCTTCATAGAGAGTTTTTTTCTAATTAAAGGAAAAGAGATGCCTCAATTTTTCCTCTAATTATGAGAGCATCCACAAATATCTGAAGTGATTGACACTTTATCTTCAATCACACAAGGAATTTACTTTTGCTTTAATCATGTCTGCCTTTATGTCAAGCGTGGAAATTTATCAGTATCTCTTTAACTTTGAGGACGACTTTATCAAAAATAACTTTTATTTTTTGACAACATTGTCCACTTTAAAAAGATAGAATAATAAGGAAGGGTTAGATTTTGCTCACCATAGATTTGAATGTATAAATTTAGTTATTAATAACATAAACTAGAAGATAAAGAAAAGCCAATAATATAATGTTTTCTACTTTTACACATTGTTTTTTGCTAGAGATATATTTTCATGCCCTTATCTTCAACTAAAAGATCATTTTGACCTTAATAATATAGTCAATTGACGTCAAATTTATGTATCGTCAAAATCAATATTTAATGTAAAATTATTTTATAAGAAACACAGAATTCATAGTAATAAAGTCAAGGAACAGTATGCCGTATTATAATATTTAGGCAGCACATTGATAGAAGAGATCGAGATTTGGAAAAATAATTGCTTTGTCTTTTTAGTCTGTACATTACACTATGATATTTACAATGGCAATATATTTGGTACATGCTGACAATATACCTAAAAGAAAGGCTGAACATATGGCTGGAATGGTTTAAATGTGATGAAAACCAAGTGTTTCGCCCACTTATGGAATTTGAAGTAATGGTCTTGCATTGCCTTATGTTGATATATTGTTATTGGGCTGAGCATATTGTTAGTAAATGTTGAATTTTGGGCCATTGAGTGTGGTTTGAAGCCCAAATGTGGCTATGGTTAGTGTTTGGAGCATTCAAGTTGTGTTGTGTTGAGTGGAAATGGCCTCAGTGATCCCAAGTGTCCAATTTTGTCATATGATAATTTTTTTGTGTGAAACCTATGACATTAGTTAAAAAATTTAATATGCTATCTATAGACATTTAAATCACTTTAATCAAATGTTGGAGATGTTGTGCAGGTTACAAGTTTGGCCGATGGTGTTATCTCATGACAGTAAATTATTATCATTAATCCTACATCATGCATTATGATGCATGGTGTCTTAGCCACATACATGATACAGACAAGAGAGTATCCTCTTTGTGTAACTACCACGGCATGTTAGGCATTTGCCATAACAAATGATGCAAATCCTTATGTTATTTGTCATAATGGCAAATGTGCCTTTGGGCAATTTTGAGTCTTTTGCATCCCTTTTTAAAATATTTTCACCTTTAAATCATTATGCTTCTCTAATATATTTTACTTTGATTTAAAAGTGTCTTAATTGAATTTTATGTCTTAGATGATTTTTATTTGGATTTGGGATCCCATTTTCTTAAAGATTTTAACTTATTAAACTTACTTTGAAACTTTTCTACCATAATTGTCTTGTTTCAATGTTGGTTTAATTCTTTTCTACATCTTTATTTATATCATGGTAGACTCTTTCCTATCATGGTATAACATTTTCATTTGTTTGATTCCAAATCATTAAGCATGGTTTGTTTATTTTCAACAACTATGGTTGAGTTAATTATTTTCAACTATGGTTAAACCTTTTTACTTTGGCAAGCTTTAATTATAAGTTTTCATTTTCAGTTATCATAATAGAGCTTATTAATAATGTCTTTGGGTAAGAGAATGTTGCATTTTGGCATCAAATTCTTAAGTTTTGAGATCTAGTGCGTGTTTTGCATGAGCTTATATAGAAATTGTTGTCAATATATATTCTCTGCACATGTCCTTCCCCTTCTACATAGTTAGATGTTTATATTATTAGTACTTATTCTTCTAAGGGAAGCTGCTGTTGCATAAGGAGGCACGGTGAAAGATTAAAATTTTAAAATTTCTATCCTGATATGGACTGAACGAACCCGTTTAAGTTAAGGTAAATAGAAGAGCTATCTTTTAATTCTTTAAAGTTGGCACACGTTTGGATCTCAGGAGTTGATAACGTATATTTGTTCCTTCTACTGATATCCACACGAACAACTCTCTAACTCGAACAATGTGCTAGCGCTCTCAGCGTTCATTTTCTTTGAACATTAATTTTTCCTTTTTATAGGGTGTTTCGTGGCTCTTAAAGTGTTTTTGCCGTCAGAACTTTTCTAACTCTCTTTTTTTTCATAAGGATGTCTCTATCTATATATAGTATCTAGACAAGGTTTTTCGTCTTTCACTTAAAAGCTCACGAAAATTTAATTAAATTTATCTCATAAATTTAATCCATAATATCATATCTAATTTGAATTTATTTATAAATTTAAATTATAAAATTGACATGATATTCTCTCTTATCATGTTAGTTATTAAATTTAATCTATCATATAAAGTTAAATTTAAAACTAACAAATAATATAATATAATATAATATAATATAATATATATCACATATACATATTATATTATATATATATACGAATATATATACATATATATTTCAAAAATATATATATTATATTATCAATTTAATTTTATATATCATATACATATATCATATATCTAATATATATAAACACATATATGGATATATATATATATATATATTCAAAATATATATATATATATAATTATATTTTGAATTTTATTTTCATATAAATATATATATAAATATTTATCAAATAATATTCAAATATATATATATATATATATATATTCATTCACCCTATATTACATTCATTGAATCTAGATATATTTCAGATTCAACGAACTTAGACATTATAGCTCGAGTTGGGCTGTTCTTTTGTGCAACCTTGTAGGCTCATATGAAATTGGCAGTAGGCTAATTACGCTATTAGCCCACAAGTCACAAGTAGCCTCTAGCAAGACATTACAATTATCCAATTCACATAAGGATCGATGATCTAATGTAACCTATCATGCAACCATATCACATCCCTTTTGTTACATGATATTTCAGTCAAGTACGAGACATGGAATTGTCATTCTCCTTTACCTGACCGTTACTTTCTCGATCTCTATATAGACTGATAGTAGTAATGAAAAAACCCTTTCCATTGTAGTATGGCCATACATTTTTTCAATCTTATTCATCAAGGGGCCCAGTAATATCTCTCACTTAATGTGAGGGACAAATTTCATCTTGACCACTCATATTCCTCTGCATGAATATCACTAAACTCAATTATAGCCTTTATGATCACCCGATCAAAAGTGATTTTTGATTAGGTCAAAGTTCAATAGTCATCATATAGAAATATATGATGATCTCAGGTCAAAGAGCTTAATGATATTGCTACATATGAAATAAGCTTATGATTTGTACCATGCAGCTTTCTCACAGCGGGTCGGTCCAGCACCTTGTACTCTTTCAAGTGCCTATGACTTTAATTTATATCTCTATAATTAATCAAAATCATATTAGTCTTGTTTCATCTATGATTCCTTAAAAATGACTAACCAGGGATATTTAGGACAATCACTATAATTTGTTTAGGGATACAGTTATCATATTGAACATGCAATTGTTATGATAATAAAAGAGAAATTTATTAAATTACAATGTGCATCGTTCAATGATTGATCCTGGGGCACAATTTCCAACAGCTGCATCCTTGAAAGGGGAGAAAAGATGTGAAACTAAGAAAAAAAATTGGTATGTTTTTAACTAGTTTATGCCTCAAAACAATGTAATTTTGGGGCTAAAGTAGATCACATATATGGAAAAATAGCAATCAAGGACTCTTGACCAATCAATCAAGGATCAATTGTTATTTAAATCTCAAATAGATACTTGTCAATTTAGGTTAGTCTTTTATTAATAAATATTTATTCAGATTCTAACAATAACTTATTTTAATTAACAATAGTCTATTCAGGCTTGTTTTTCATTTCAGTTTTGATAACAAGCAGTTCTTGATTGATATAAATTTTGGTCAAAAGTTCTTAATTGTTATTTTTCCCTAAAGTTAAATCTTGATGAGAATGCATGAAATTGGGGGAAGAAAAAGTCAGTTGGGAATAGAAATTTATATTTTCCAGTGAGAGTTTTTTCTAGGATGGATGCTAAGTATGTTCATCTATTTAGTTGGGTACCCTTATTGTGTCTCCAATATCAACTATGTCAATATGGGATTGAGTTGAATGATTCATCAAATAATTCCTCTCGTTAAGAAAGAAGTTTAGACTTATAATGTAGCAAATGAAAGAAAGGCAGGAAAAATAAAAACTTTATAAAAGGACATTTAAATTAGTAATAAATAAAGAGTATATGAAACTTGGGTTAGAAATGACTATTAAGTCAGGGCAATAATGAAATCCATGAAAAGCCTGGGTAATTTATATGTGTTCACTGGTCACTATGGAAATAATAATGTTGAAAACATATAAATATTATGGAAGTTGAGGGAATAAAAAGTTACAAGAGAAATTGTATGATCTAAAGCAACTAGTGAATGATTCGAGGTAATTAATGCAATGATTGAGGTGTAATAGTGATCAAGTACGTGCTTTATATT